TTATTTTGCATGTTTTAGGGATATTAATTTCCATTCTGCCTCTCTCAAGTGGAACAGATTTCCCAAATAAAATGTGTGCATTGAGCTGCCACAGTAACAGTGCCAAGTTCAGACTCTAATGCCAATTGTCATCAACTGGTGCTGAGCACATTCCTAAATGATGTGGAAATTACTGTATTGCAAGTCCTGTAAAAAAGAACAATCACAAAAAAAGAATGTCAGCTTTCCTCACAGCACACCTGCTCAGAGACTCAGCTGTGCAATGTATTGGGAAACACAGTTCAAAAGCAATACAATATAAGTGAAATATAAGCAATGAAATATAAGGGATGAAATGTAAGAGAAAATATTTTCATAATATCTAAACAAATCTGAATAAATACAGATATTTTGCACATGAAAAGTTTTCTTCCTCTACCAATAGGTAATTGAATTGTTATTACAGAGCAGGTCTGGGAAATAGAAATAATTGTATATAGACACAGTCATGCTTATGGATAGAAAATAGTGTATTAGAGAGCTGTGCTTTAGCACCAATATGCTCATTAACTAAAGCAGCTTCCTTAACATGGTCCCTCCATTACCCTGGCTGTTTCTGTTCAGCATCCTTATCAGGAATTTGTAATACATGAAGAATAAGAGGAGAATCCAGTTTCCATTTTACAGTGGCTGCCTGGCATCAGAGCATCCGAGTGTTACACCACTATTTATTTATTTTTGACAGAGATATGATCAGTAAAGCTCCTGGCTACAGACCACAATAGAGAATTTCTGTTCTTTAGTAAAGGCACCTTCAGCCTTAACTGCATTTTCTGCATGAACCCTCATAATATGTCATATACCTATAATTTCCCTAGCTTTTCTGGATTTGCATATCGTTTGAAAATTGCTTTATGATTCTTACAGGAAAATTATTCTGAACACTGAACACTGCTTTAAATTCAGCTGATAATATTATTAGTGGTGTTTTAAACAGAAATCTTGTGTGAGACTGCATGCATTTCTATAGAGGGAAGTATTGGAGAACGGAATTCTTGGCTCTTGATCTGCTCTTTAGACTGGATCTAGACACAAAGAAAAAACAAACTCTAAAAAGAGTGGTCTGGCTGTGATACTTTGAAATTCACTGCAAAAAAGCCCTAAGACCAGTAAACCATATGCAATGTCTAATTGATTAATCCTACTTTTTGGGTATTTTTGTTATTTCTAGTAAAATAGAATCATTTAAAAAATTGGCTTCTGAGATTTTGTTTGTTGACTGTGAGCCCTGGCCTGACCTCAGCCTTGAATTTAAATCCCCAGCAGAAATCTGAAATTAATCTACCTCTGGTTTAGTTATCAGTAATTATAATTATTAACAGAAGTATGCAGTAAATGAATGGTTTTTTAGTGACATGGTGTTTACTTAGAACAAAGGATAAATAAAAACACACTTCCTTCTTACTTCACAGTGTCTTTTCCCATGGCAGTGCAGGATCTGGTCCTTACATGGGTATGGTAAAGGACACAAGCCCAGCCATGTGCCTACAGAGAGGTGTTTGCCCAAACACTGAAATGTCACATATTGGAAACAGGAGCAGTTGAGAACTGCTCCTCCTGTACCAGGGCTGGTGGTTTGAAGCTTGCTTTCCCTGCGGCTAACCCAGGGGTGGAGTGAGAGCAGTCAGACAGCTGCCCTGGGAACACTGTCATCCCAACCCTGCCTGGCACATCACTGCTCCCTTGGCCCCCCAGATCCCTTGCAAAAGCCATGCTTTCACCATGTGGAACAGCTTGAACAGCCCCTAGACCATTCCACACAGGAATTTAGTGTCCTGCCAAGGTCTCTCCCATGGCACGTGAAGGAAACCTGCTGTTGGCAGCTACCTGGCCTGGAGCTATCTCTACCAGCAGGAGCAGGCTCGGAGGACACTGTCAGCCAGTGCAAATGCTGAGATTTCTTGAGACATCTCTCCAGCTCTGCCTGTGAGCTGCTGTACCCAGGAGAGGTTTAATGGGCTGGAAGAACTACCTTCTGCCTATTGTCACAGGACTTGAAGGCCTGGACCATCACCAAAACAGGAAACAGAAAACCTAAGCTGTGAATTCAAGCGAACAAAGTGGCCAGATTCTGAGAGATTGGGAAAGGCCAGCTTTTGCTGAGCAGCTCACAGCCCAGCACTGCAGGCACTCAGCACAGCAGCAGTAGGAAATGGCTCTGCAGGGAGCAGCCAGCCAGCCAAACACGGCACAGCCCGGGCAGGAGCCACAGAGAGGCAGGGAGGAGGCAAGGGCAGGGCAGATGAAGGGCTGTAAGGAAGAAGCCAGCAACCCATTTGTAACATCCAGTGCCTAAGGAGCTGTTACTGCAGGGGAGTTCTGGTGTCCTTCAGGACAATAGGAACAGAAGTGAAGAGCTCAGCTTTGTGGCTGGATTAATGCAGTGCTACATGGATTAGTGCACCATAGCAAGCCATGGTTCAGCAATTAAAGGCATGGATACCTCTCTGAACATCCCAGCTGCTAGGTAAACCAGGCATTTTTGTGTCTCCTCCCTCAAAGTCTAAACTCCCATGTATTTCTGTCTGGAAGCACAGGCTTAGTCACTGAGACTCAACTCAATGGACTCTCTGGGCTCAACAACCCAAATGCACATGGGATTAAGGTTACACTCCTGAAAATTAGTTAGTTAATTAAACCCTAGGTCAGGCTTTGTTTTATGAGGCCAAGCTGCTGCATAAAAACTGAGCAGGTCAACATGAAACTAAAGATCATCTCCTTGTGCACAGAGAGGAGACATGCAGGCAGCAGAAGCAATTCTGTTCTCTGCCCCTTGGTGGCCGAGTCACTTGCTTATTGTTCTTTAACCCAGCAAGCTGAATGCCAATGTCTGTGCTGACAGAGCAACATACAAACTACCTCTGTGCTGAGGGCTAAAAGAAGCAGCTGAAGAAATAGATAACATAATTAGGATAGTCTAGATGATGCCTCCAGGCTACAGCCCTACCTCCAGTGAGAGGAATGATGAACAATGAGGTCCAGGGAAGACTGAATTCAAAGGGCTTGGGCACCACTGGCTCACTGTTTCTGGAGGGGCTTGACAGAGTAAGAAAACAAGGGAATACACTGAGATTTCTCTGGAATCATGCTCCTTCCTGCAGTGCCTGCTGAGGTTCAGAATCGCCCTGGAGGTGTCCTTCCCCCAGACCCTACACAGTGGTCCAGTGAGCCTCAGATCTCCTCCCTTCCCCCTCAGTTCACAGAAGAAAAACACTAAGATGTTTCCGTTGGCTTTTACATCATCTTTTTGTAGAGACTAATCTTCAGTTTCAACAATACATCTTTTGTGAAGCACTCCCAGCAGAAACCTTAGACACCTTCCCTAAGATCTGTTTGCTTACAGAAGACGAGGTAGGATTTGTTTAAACCCAGCTAGATTAATGTCTTGCAGACATTAGTGAAGTGAGATTTAATCAGGTTATTGCTCTACATTTTCCAGGGAAATAAATCACACTTATTACTAGGTTGGAATAGGATGCAAGGCTTGGGCTGAGAACATTTAGTCTTTTTTGTTTTTCCAGAGGGGAGTGAAGGGATAACTTGAAAATTCCTGCAAGGCTGTCAAACAGGCCCTCTACAACTTTGAGTAGGGACAAGGGATGCAAGCCATAATGGTTGGTGTACATCTGGGGGTGGGCCTGGGTCCCAGGCCCCTGCCTTGCAGAGGTGCTGTAGGGTCTGCATCAGTACAGAAAGCAGACAGGAGTACCAAGCAGACTCATAACCTCCATATGAGATCCTCCATGTGAACTCTTACATAACTCTCAGGACCTAACTTCTCTTCTGGGTGTGTGTTTCTGCCTGGCACACAGGGAGGTGTCTTTGCATTGCAAATGGGTGTTGTGGGATCAAGCAACCTTTGCAAACCTACTTGCAGACCCTAAATGGAAACTCTCAGTGATGCTAGTAGTGCTTTCTTTAGTTAACACATGTTAACACATCTCCTTGTACAAACCTGTGCATGTGCAAGGAACAAAGTCTGGGAAATCAAATTGCAAAGGTCCTCCTCTCTTTTTCACCAACATGGAAGCAGACAGCTGAAGCCAATATAAATCTTTTCAATAACTACAGGTTTGCATGTGCTGAAGTGCCCAAAACCCATAAGCTTTGCATCCATTTCCCCTTATCCAGTGGGCTGTGCAAACATGAGAGAAAGCAAATTACAGTAACACTGCCTGCAATCAGGTTTCAAATCATGCAACAAAGCAGCACAAAACACAATGGGACCGAGTCAAAATCTTATTGCAGAGTACAATAAAATATATCCTGTTTGGGATGAAAGAGAAAAGGAAATACCAGGCCAGGCAGCACTGTTGCTTGTAAATACCCTCCTGCCAATGCTTTCCCTGGATAAATGAGTCCTATGGACCCTGAGTGCATCAGCATGAATCAGCCTGTCTGCTCCAAGGTAAAGGCTACAATTCTGTCTCGTGTTTAATGGGAGCTCTTTCCCTCCTCCTTTTCTTGGCTTCCTGCTCAGAAAGAATAGACTCTCCAGAGAGAATTTTGGATCTGGACCACAATCTTGCTCCCTACCGATAGCTAAGTATCTCTGGGCAGGAGTACATTTAAAGAAGCAGCTGGTAATTATGAGCCAAGTGCTTACTGGCAGGATTTCCCCCTGCTACTGAGCCAATGCTTTTTGGGAACTAAATGACTCCCTGGTGATAACTATCAGGTAAAACCTACAAACCAGGGGAGGTTCCCTCATTAGAACCATGAGCAAGAAACAATGCAAAGGTGGGTGGAGAATGGCTGAAAATTGTGTCTGAGGGCTGCTTGACTTCCCTGTCCTCCACTCACCCAAAGTGGTTGTGTGTAACTGCTGGGCATTTTCTAGGTAGTAATGAAAGCTACAAAATCTGTTCCCACGTCTACAGCAGTAATGAAAACAAATGACCTTTTCCTTCCAGCTAATCAAAATGTATTGAGCAGCACTGAAAAACCATCACCACACTTACTCTTTTGGAGGGTTAAGGTCTTCTGGGCGAGCCTCGAAGAACCTGAAGACTTCATCACACTGTGAAATATGGGGAGGAAGCCGAACCAGTGCCTGCAAAACAAAACAGAGGGTGAGAAGCACTTAGACATAAGCCAAGTTTAAAACATGGCATCAAAATCTAAACTGCCAAGCACAAGGAGACAAAACAGTCCTGGCAAGGGGAAAGGAATACTGAAGAATACAGGTTAGCAGCACACCTGGCTACTAACCTGAGAAGAAAGGAAACAACAAGCCCTGACTGCAAATGTCAGGTAGGAAGCAATGAATTCAGACAAGCAGCAGTTCTTAGAATCAGCCAATGTAATTTATTTTGCCACGTGCTCAAGAGCAGAGTTTGGTCCATAAGTGCAAAACCATGACACTGCACAGATAAGTGCTCTGTGGCTGGGACAGTCTGTGATATGGGCTTGCACAGCACCTCACACTGAGGTTAGGGCTTACAGGCCTTGTGTCAATGCACACAAATTCAACACCCACTCAGACAACAGATTAATGTGTTCATAAAGCCTTCCATGAAGCACTGTCCACACAAAAAGCAGAGTTTGCTAAAAAAAACCCCATAACCAAACCAAACCAAACAACAATTTGCTCCTAAATTAACAGGAAAGGAAGTTTGATTAGGTGCCTGAAAAAAACAAATCAAACCCAACCAAAACACAGAGAGGCTTTTTTTGAATGAAGAAGGTTGCACAGCACATCCTGGCTAGCAGTGTCTGTGCACTGGCCTTGGCAGAGGGACATAGCACTTGTCACATTCAGCAATAGCTAAGTACAGTCTGGGCATCAACCACATTATGTTGAAGTGTACTGGAAAGCAAGAACTGAAATAAGACAAGCACACAAGGCAGAAACATGCTATGAATTTGCTGTTCAGAATCTAGATCTTTATGGTGCCAAAAGAAGTTAAAGAGCTGTCCCCAGCCCACAGAGATGGGGCAGCAGCTCTCAGTGACCTGACTGGGAGGCTGCCTCCAGAAATGACAAGCAGGAGAGGAAAAGAGGCTGGACTTCACCTCCTCCTGCGCTAAGTTATGCTGAAAATAGGCCACAGGTTAAATATAGACCAAGCTTCTTAGAGTTGCTGTAAACCTGTTTGACAAAATGAGATTGTCTGGCTCTTCTCCTAGTTGAAAGTAGGACAAACAATCTTGAAAGATGGATGAAAAATTGCACCAGAACTAAATGAAGATGCATTAGGTGAACAGGTTATATTAACCATGAGACATCTGACTGATCTTGGTCAGACACGCCAGAAGGTCCAACCAAAGCACAAAGGCAGGACAGGGCAGTTGGTTACCAACACAGCTGTTTTTAACCAGGCTTTAGAAGTGGCCAGATTTGTTTCCAAAACCACATTTGCTTGGGGATGTGAAGGAAAAGAGTTGGAAAAAGCCTGCTATGAAATTGCAGTCTCCAGTATTAGATGACTGGGTCTTGTTTTGAGGTGTTCATAAATTCAAAGTCAAATGCTTCACACCTACAGCTCTCCTCTCCTTTGTGAAGGGAACATTAAGGACATCAGGAAAATTCATTTGGTATCACTAGGCCTGTGAAAAATGAAGCTCTGGCCTTTGGTCATGTGGAATTGCACTATAGAGCTGAAAAAGATGCCTTGCAAAGGAAGCAGCATCGGATGCAGAAGCTGGGCAAGAGCTTGGTGGGTGCAAGTGCCAGAGTAAGCACCACTGGCTGCTGCACTAAGGCAGGATGAAACTGAACAGCTGGAAAGCTCAAGCACTTTTACGGGAACAAAGGATGCCCTGGTCTGCACCTCTGTTTGTTCAAGCTTGTCTAAAAGTGTAACAAAGGTGTGAGCTCTGCCTTTTTTCCTACTGTACACAAATACATGCATCCAGCTGACAAACCAGGAATAACACTGGGAAGTCAGGAAGTGCCCAGGAATAGTAATGATCACAGCATGTTGAAAGAGCCATGCCTCACCAGCACTGGCTAACAAGAACATAAACAACATTTATTCATCTGCACCCCAAGCAAGAGACAGCAAAGCAATGCTGTCTACCCAACAGTGGATGGAGCTGATATTTAGCACTGGCTCTGCTACTCACACCCTTTTTGGTTAGGGCAGGTTACTTAACCTCTTTTCATCAAATTCAGCTGGGATATATCTTCAGTTATCCCCTTACAATGCTGAGCAATAACACTTACCTAATCTGCAGAAAGGTTAGGAGGCTCAGATATTCAATATCTACAGTGTGTTTTGAAATCCCAAAGGGCTCAATCTTGCACAGTCAATGGGGCAGGAGCAAGCAGTGCAAACCATATGTATCATTACTAGAGAAACACAAATACCCGAGTCACACCCAGCACGGGGTGTCTGGGGCATCAGATGCGTTCCCAAAGAGTCCCCACTTCCCTACAGGTCACAGGTGCTCACCCTTCCCAAGAACCAGGCTCCAGATGTCAATGCTGAGCTGAGCACAGAGTAGGTGTTCAGTGATGGAGGAATGAAAAGCTGCTGTGGAGATTTTTGTTTCTAAATTGAGGGACGCTTTGGGAAATCTGAACCCCCTGAATCAGTGGTTGGCTGCCTGGAAACCCCCAGAAGCACTGTGGTCCTGCTGAGCTGAAGGGGGATGGCTGAAAAGCACCTCTCTGGCTCCAGGCTTTTGTAGGGAGTGGATAAAAATCAGCCAGTCATTTCCACACCCAGCCATCCACCTTCCCACCCTGGGGTAGGGCTGGCTCTTCTGCTTCTGAATCATCTCCCTGTGCTGCAATTTCCAGGCTTATGCACAGAGATGGACTGAAATCCAGCCCATAGTAACTTGCCATTGCATGCTTTTTGGGAAGCTCAGGTGTAAAGTCAAACCAGTCCATTTTCCTGTTTTTTTTTAAAGGAACAAAACCCAAAGAAGTGGTAAGAAACTCTAAGAAATGGTTAAAAAAAGTGCAACTAAGGATATTAACCAATCAGGACCTTTCTATTAAATTTTGAATAGCAGCAGGGAGCAGTGACACTGTTTAGTGAGACAAGTGTCTCTTCAGCAAATACACAACACTCACATGAACAAGTCAAAGCCAACACGATCCTGGTGAGCAAACAAAAAGTGAACTGAGGAGATCAGGGACACACTGTCACTCTGCAAGGGGAAAATGCAATCTTCTGGCATTCCCAGCAAGACAGTTCCAGGGCAGAGCTGCAACAGCCTGAAGGAAAGACTGCAGGGTCAAGGGAAGAAGTGTAAAGAGGAACAAAGAGGAACACAAAGGTGAGAAAGGACAGGGAAGTGACATTCTTCTGGGGATGTGGAAACCAGAGGTAAACACACACAGCTACAAACAGCAAGCATCCAGGAACAGCAAGGAACTTGCACAGGAAAGGTGAGAGATAAAAAGAGCCAGCAAGCAGAACTCAGCCTTGCACAAGCATTGAGAACTATCAGTAACAGCATGTTTCCTTGCTTGGCATGCACAGGACGTGCACTGCTCAGCCCTCACACATCCCTCAGGAGATAGATAGGCTTTCATGTGTCCTTCCAGCCTGTAATCATGTCTGGCTCTGTAGTACAGCTTACAGCCTTGCAGAGCAGGTGACTCAAAAGGCTATTGAAAAGTTTAACATTAGGCAGGGTGTGAGCAGGGTGTGCTGGGGATGGCCAGGTACTCTCAGAGCCCCAGCCCACCTGTGGAAAGCTGCTGTGTGCCACACAGCAATCAAAACCAGCAGAGCACCAAGTGCAGGCAGGGGTTCATTGCTTGAGGTTACAAGAACTGGAAACTGCTCTGTGGGACTGTATCACAGCTCAAAGGGTTCCTGGAATACATGGTATAAAACCCTGCAGGCACGCCTAATGATGAATATTGAGGGCTGTGGGTTGCATTTTTGCAGGTACATTTATAGAAAGCTGATGCAGAGATGTGTGTATGCAGAGATGCACAGCACATGTGTGTGTATTTGCACAGAATGGTATTCACCCATGGTGAATATTTGCACAGAATGGTATTCACCCCACTGAACTTCATGTGTCTTACATGGGAGACTGCCCACACTCGTCTATCAGCTTGTATCATTGCTAAGGAAAGAGCAGCATCCTCAGAGGGTGCTTTGTCTACCCCCTGCCATGGGTGTCTGGCTCTGGAAGGGGTGAATCATTGATTGTCTTCACACAGCCCCTAGAGACACTTCAGATGCACAACTTTTAAATCCCTAATGTCCAGTGGGTTTATTCCCATCTCTGCATACAAAGACACAGTGCCAGCTCACAATACTGCACAATTATGACTCCCTTACTTTTCCTCTAATTGTTTATCATTTTCATTAACATTAGTCACTAGAGCCAGATGTTTGGGAATGGCCATGAGCCCAGCAAGGGGGAAGGTGCAAATAAAATAGATAATTTCTGAGAACAAAGAAATAAGTTGTTTTATCTATATGAAAACACCTTCTGTTTGACTGAGAACCTCGAACTAAAGCACTGAAGTGGTGGATGGCAAACACGGACAGGCAGGCAAGGAAGTGGATGAAGAATGAATGGTGGTGGTTCAGACTGGAGAAGAAGTGGGAATAAATAAAGAGCTGAGAAACGGAGGAAAGAGGGTGCAGTTATGGAAGTAACTGGAACATTGTAAGAGCTCTGGCATGGAAGCACCATAACACAATGGAAAACAAGGCTCTGCTCCAGGTGCTGAGGAGAGTGTTGCAAAAAATAAACTCTCATTACTGCAGCCAGTCTAAATGCATTGGGATTCTGAAACATGAATTAAAAATGTCAGATCAAGTTTGAAAGTATTTCACTGATAACAGATAAATTTTGAAAGTATTTTAGTTAAACTCCCATTCTTGACCAGGACTACAATTCCATCTTCAATCAAACTAGCTTAGTTGTACAACAGATAGAGAGAGAAATGTCTGTGTACCTGTCTTGACAGGCTCAAGGATTAAACCTTGAAAGAGAGGCAGGACTGAGACCAAGAGGGAGGTAATTATGTTTGTGAAATATGGTCTCTCAAATAGTGAACATTAATAAAAGAATGACATTATTAAAAGTACTTCCTGGCACTGATGCGACTCGCTCATTTAATTTCTATTTAGGTGGTGCCCATTTGGATACTCAAGCCTCATTAGAGAAAAGCTCCCAAGCTTCTACTTAAAACCATATCCAGTTTTATGGGACAGCATGAAGGCATGTGACAAACCCAGGTTAGTGTTTATGACAACGGGACGTTACATCTTAAGGTCTTCCCTGCACAAAGATGCTTCCCTCAATTAGGATCAGCACACACAAATTTATGGAAGTCAGCAAATTCTGGCCCGAGTCTTCCCAGAGAGCTGTGAAAGGACAGAGCGACAGTTTTGTGAACCACTGACCTGAAAGGTCTTTCTTGAAGACAGGATGGTACACACTGGACAAACACTCACCAGAGGTGTGTTTGAGATCAAAAGCCTCATAAATAAAATGCCCCTCGGGAAGGGAGCTCTATGAAGTTGCTCTTTCTTTCATATTGGCAAAAATTCCTAAACAAATTTAGAAAATCGGGCCCAATGAGCCCAGAAGACCTTAAATCACACTAAACTAATTCCAAGCCTACAGTTAAGAGGGAAATCATCCAGAGAGACTAATTCCAGTGGGCAGCACACATTTACTGGCAAAACACAGTTTGTTTGGTAACTCACTCAGGTTACCAGTAAGGACATCCAGGCTCTGCACTTTCATGTTTACAGATGAGAAAACTCCTGGAAATCTTCCCATGTATCCCACTCCTCTCGTTTTCATTGCAACTTCAAAGTTTCTTGCAGCCTTAGCAAAACCACTGGCCTAGGTACCTCTGTGATGGCATTTCTCTAAGCTGCTACAATGCACTAGGAACAACCCAGGCATGAGGGGTACAGAGATGGAAGCTGTAGGGTCCAGAGGGATCATGCCCCTGATACAGAATCTTCTGCAGACCTCCCCTTACTGCCAAGTATCCCCACAAACTCTAAGACAGCTTCTGCCTGTTCCTGGCACAGAAACCACAAACACTTCCACACAGCAGGAGTAAGACCTGCTTCTCAACCATGCAAATTTCCACACTGACAGACAGTCTGCAAAAACAAAACAACAAATGGTCAAACATTTGCATCCCCCATTTGTGCTTCAGCCTTCCAGGACAGGTGAAATGGATGGAGAACTCTTATCTTGCAAAAAAACCCAAAATGCCATGAACTTTGCATTTGAACATGCCTCCCCCTCTGCTGCCACACAGATTCCAGGGGACAGAGGTCTATTGTTTTGTTTATTCATTTTATTCCATCAGCTTCACCCACATCATTCCAGCAAAAATCTCTAATTTTTTCAAATTTGTCAGCCTACCCATTTGAGGATTAATGTGGACATAAGCTTCGAACTCTTATAGAAGTAGGACTGAACTTGTCAAAATTATGCTCTTGCTCTACAGTTCCATACAATTCTCTAAAGAGTCAAAATATTCACTGGAGAAGGGTAGAAAAGCAGAAAATGGGTACAAAGGCAAATTAAATACAAATTACAGTAAACTGCAAACTAAATAAAAAGACACTACATCAAGCACAAGAAACATATGTGCCAGAGACCACAGGAATAATATTCTGGAGAAGTCACTAAAGGTTTGTGATACTCAGTGCTGAGAAGCACTGTGGCTGCTGCTGGAGACAGGAAACACTGGGCTGGGGGAAACTGGGCTAATCCAACACTGCAGGGTCTCTGTTCACAAAAGCAGCATCTATCAATACATGGATTAAGTAAACAGATTGGCTTCAGGGACATATCCAACCATGTCTGAGCAGCAGCAGCAGATCTGAACCAAAGTGAAACCATTCTGTGATTCTATGACCTGAGCCAGAATTCTCCAAGAGAGAAAAAAGGAAATGCAGAGAGCAGGAATCACAGCGCCACAGTGTCAGTGAATGTGCCATCAGCCACAACACACCCCTTGGCCATGACCAGTGGAGCCCCAGCAGGCCTGGCTGGGTCAGGTCAGGTCTGTCTGGGACACAGACAATGGGGTCCCAGAGAACCAGCTGCCCCTGGTCACTGCTTTCACTGCTGGGTGACAAAGTCCCTGCTTTCCCCACCAGCATCTGCTGGGTGAACCCTGACATCAGCCGGCCCCGCTGCTCCTGTCGCCGGCAGTTCCTGTCTGAAGGAGGGCGGCTGGGGACCCACTGAGACCCTACATATTTCAGAAAGAGTCATTTGGCTGCCAGCAGGAAGACAGTACACTAATTGTCACACAAGAAAGCCTGATCTCATGAGAGAAGACTTTAATTGCAGCTTCCTCACCCCGGAGGTGCAGATGGCATGGGTTTCACCACCACCACCACCACCCCCAGCACGCCTCAGGCGCTTTGGCAATCTGCTTCCAATTTTGGATGAGCAAATGTCTGACTGGAGAAGTTCTTGGGAATGCTTTTTTCCCCCTCCACCTGCTCCTCTGACTTTCTAAAAATGGAAAGAAAACCTCAAGGGAAATAAGAGAGGAAGTCTGGGGTTTAAATAATGTGCTGACGGACTCAATACCTCTGCAAAAACTGGGAATCCTACTTGCCTAAGCAAGTAGAACTTGCCTAAGCAAACGACTTTTATTCTACTGACAGAGAATTAATTATCATCAAATTACAAACTCTAGTTTAGAAAGAAAAGATTAGGTGGCTTAATATTCTTCTCAAAAGAGTCAAGCCTTTCTGTCCAGCAATAAATTTCCAGGCTTTCACTCATGAGGAGAAGCATTCCTGGAAGACACAGGTCCACCCTCAGTGCTGCACCAGCCACTGCTGTCCCTCATGTGGCACCCGGGGATAGACAGGCAGAAAACAGAAGAAAACAGCACCTTAGTTGTGCCACCCTGTGACGGTGTTCACAGGGGTTTTTGGATGAGGGAAGAGATGAGGATTTGACTCCATGTTTCAGAAGGCTTAATTTATTATTTTATTATATATATTACATTAAAACTATACTAAAAGAATAGAAGAAAGGATTTCATCAGAAGGCTAGCTAAGAATAGAATAATAAGGAATGTTAACAAAAGCTTCTGTCTCGGACAGAGAGTCTGAGCCAGCTGACTGTGACTGGCAATTAATTAAAAACAACCAACATGGGCCAATCACAGATCCACCTGTTGCATTCCACAGCAGCAGATAATCATTGTTTACATTTTGTTCCTGAGGCCTCTCAGCTTCTCAGGAGGAAAAATCCTAAGGAAAGGATTTTTCATAAAAGATGTCTGAAACACCACTCTGCCTACTCAACTCTTGAATCATCAAGGCTGATGCAGAAAAATAATCCACATTTAGGCAGGTGAGGCTTAGAGCCTTCACAGAGTAAATGAGGCACCAAACCAGTACATTAAGTTTGCCAGGGAAAATGCTGTGAGGACCCTGGGAGCACACGGCAGCCTGTTTCCACCTGCCCTGTTAGTCTGGGTGGTGTTTGGGAAGGACCATCCTTCCCTGTGATGGGTGTCAGCACTCTCCAGCAGGGAAATGCAAGCATGGTGGCACCCTGAGCCCCCAGGCAGGAGGGCTGTGCTCCCCAGAGCCTTACCCTGCAGTACTCATCGATGGGCTTCAGCCTCTTCACTGCTACGTCTCGGACATGGCTCCTCCGGAACAGGATCTTGCCTGAGGAGAGAACACACAAAAGGGGAGGGTTAGGGGCATCACCAGCCATGTGGGACAGCACAGCAGCACCAAGCAGACAGAGTTTCATCCCTGGCTCCAACCATGGCTGTCAGCATGAAACCTGGATGACCGCCACCACAGTCCTGCCTGTGTGAGCTTCCACAGGGGACCCAGGGAGTTATGGGACAGAGGGGGGTTCTGATTTCACCCTGCAGGTAACACAAAAGGTTTTGGTCCCCTTGTAGTGATGGCACTACCCTGAAATGGACTGACACTATGTTATGACTCGCTCCCAATTGAGGGTCACTTTGGCATGGCCATGCTGGCTGTGCAGGAAGCATCAGGGGCTCCATCTGCTCCCCACTCAGCTGCCTCCCACTGTGGATGCTCCTGCCCTTCCAGGCAGACAAACCACACACCCAGCTCACAAGCAAATACAAGACTGCTGGTGACAGAGCCCTTATAAATCTACACGGAGAAACCAAATAACAGAAGAAAAATAAACAAACTCTTTTTTTTAAACTAAAAGAAAAATAATAACCTCCATGTTCTTACTGGATGACATTTCTGCAAGCAGTTAAGATTAAATAAACAACCGGGTTTTGTGTGAAACTGATTGTAACAAAGTTTATCAAAATAATCTAGGAACTGATTTTCCCCACACACAAGGATGTCATAGAGTTGGTATTTTTTTGGCTAGAAGGGATTATATCTTCATATCCTTTTTTGGTGGTTTTCTTCCTTTTTCCTTTTGTGCTGTATTTCTTTTAATATAATCAGACAAGAATAAATTGTATGTTCTCCTTGTGGTAGAAGAAAACAGGATCTGCCAGCATTATTTAGTCCATGAAATATCTATTAAAAAACCACATCTATACTACACCCCGCTCCAAACTACTTCTACCAACAGGCAAATAAGATACTCACCCATAGATGGTGAGATAAGAAACTGGACTAAGAAATCAAATCAGATCCAAAATCTGAATATGTGGCTTTGACTTTATCCAATTGCACAATCTGAGAGGTTAATGAAAGGCAGCCTTTGACAGTCCAGTAGCAAAGGCTCTAAGCCTCCCCCAGACACTGCCCCTTTTGGCTGCCTTTTCCTCCATAGCTGCTAATCTGGAAGGTGTTAAAGCCTTTTGTTTCAGACAGGAGAAAGTGGTTTATCTTTATCCCCAATTCTGGCAACAAAACAGTTTGTGCTGTGAGGTAAAGCTATTTCCTGGTGCCATCAGCTTCTCTCTCTGGGTTCCCTGTGGTTATCTCATTACTATGCTGATGTTGAGCCATCCCTGTAGGAATGTGATGCCTTGTGGTCACTGAGAAATCTTCAGTGGGTGTCTGAGACATTGCATCATCTTGAGCAATTTAGTCAAATTGCACCAGCTTGAGCAATTTAGTCAAAAGCAGCTGGAGAAGGGAAGTGACCCTTCCATCCTCCTGCACTGACCCACACTGGACACACTGAAAGATTCTTGATTTCCTGCTTCTCTGTTTGGTAAATGGTGAGAATTATCTGCCTTGAGGATCACACTTACACTGCATAACAGCAATAAACTGCTTTTTGGGGGCAGAAAGAGGTAGGGGTAGCTATAGAGAAAGGAATAGTTCCTTTCTCAGTGCTCCAGAAATGCTGGTGTGGGAGATCTTGGTATTTTTTTTGCAACTTTTATAAATATACTGCAAAGAGAAAACGACATTTTGGAAACATTCTCACTTTCTGGCTTTCCTGTTTTCAGTTCAAGCCATGAGTTGAAAGTTGAATGGGTGACCATACAAAAACATAAAGGAACCAAAGATTTAAACACATGAAAGATCTGTAAATGCAACTCAGCTTTTCTAAAAGTAATAATAAAGAATGTTATATTAAACAGAGTATGAAAAAGACCCCAGGATATGATGAATCTTAACTCAGTCCTTAAATGGAAATGGAAAATATCAGGGCAACTGTGGTGTTAGGACAAAGCGAAGCCCAGAACGTGCTTCCATTTTAATCCCGTCAGCAAAAGGAAGATTTTCCTTCTACTACTGGAAAGTGGAAAAGGCTTGACGAGGCCAGTGGGGAAGATCTGTAGCTGCCCAGTCCAGTATGGCATTCAAAGCTAAGATCTGGAGAAGACTGGGTATTTTAGAGCACCATGGAGTGGCAGTCAACAAGGAAAAAACAAGAAGAAAAACAAGGACACTCTGCAAACATATCCAGTTCTGATGGGCAGCAAGGAGGGGACCCCCACCCCCACAAATTCTGGAGGTTGGCAGGCAGAGAAGTCTCATTGACAGAGTGACCCAAGGAGGGACAGCTTCCCAAGTGCCCAGCTTCTTCCCTTGTCTGGGAAGACACACTGTGCTGATAAAGGGTCAAAGCCAGCACAACGAACCAGCAGGAACTGATGGCAGACCCAGGGCCAGTTACTGCTGCTCTCTCCAGCTCCCCCTTTTCTCCTGCTCTTCCTCTGAAAGCAAGGGAGGTCCCACAGGACTGGAAAAGGAAGGGAATGTGAGAGACCCATATTGTACACTCTTTACTTTCTCCAAGTGAGTGCAGACCCCATAATGGAAAGCTTTGCCTAACAAGGGAGAAAGGGTCACCATAAATCCAGGGAAGGCAGAGAGCTGGGCAGCAGGAGCACATCAACCAGCAAGGAGCCCTCTGGACAGCACTGGAAGGGAGCATTTTGCCCAGCACCAACATCAAGTGGGAAAGTTCCAGGGTGGCTGGCAAATGCAGAACAGCCCAGACAATTTCCTGGCGAGGGTGGAGTAGTGGTTTATGTGCCACTTGGCTTTTCCTCTGGGAATATAAGGAAGGGATCTCTTCTCTGTGAGTACAGAGAGCACTGCTTTCTCCCTCCTGAATTTTACTGCAGCTCTTTTAAGCCTCCTCAGGCACTACAGCCCCATTTTACAGAAGGATGAGTGGCTTTTCAGCATGCTGCAGCCCAGCTAGGAAGTGAACAGGAAGTCTGTCTCAATTCAATGGGAAGTCAAAGGTTACATGAGATGACGCTGCCTCATGCAAATATTTCATTCACTGGTGTGCCAGGCTTGGACAGGGCCAAGGGAGGCCTGGCACATGTTAGGAAGGGCTCTGAAGACAGCAGCAATTGGAAAGAGAGACGTGGGAAAGACAGGGCTCCAGCCTTTCTGCTAATGCAGGATAACAGTATTTATTTTTATAATTTTTTCTTTAAAGAAAATATTATTCCTCAGAAATTAATATGGATAAGAGGCAAAGTATCAGGTTTAACATAGTAGAAGACATCTTAAGTCATCCCTTCATCTCTGTGTGTGTGTGTGTGTATATATATATGTAGTCTTTAATTTCACGACCACACACTTCTTCTCTAATAAGACCTAAGTTTCCTCCTGTATACACAGTGGGTGCACAAAGTGGGAATAATAAAGCTATGCAGGAGATTGTCCATCTGGCAGCTGCTGATTCTGTAAGCTTAAATGTATCCTCAGAATATCATTTTATTCCTGCATCACCTCATACTTGGAGTAACAGACTTTTAACAAGTGCCACGAGCCCCAAGAACAAGCTGGTTTAAATGCATCCAAACACTCTGGTGCTCCCATTAGCCCACAGACCTGTGCTGAGTACACCAGAAGGGTCCACAGCCCAGTAGTTTGTAATAGCCAGGGATGTGGTTTGTACAGGGAAGAAGCCCAGCTCCTGTGGGGCTTGGTGACACTGTGGAGCGTGGTCTTGAGGCAGGACAGCACCAGGCACCACCAGCAAAGAAACAGCACAAGTCCCTGAGGGGATGCCTAGCAGGAGAACCCTGCTTTCCTCTTTGAGAAGGGGACATATGGTACACAGTCCCTACAAGCACAGCAGATGCCAGCTGTCAGCAGCCACTGCCCTTGACTGGGGATTTGTAAGCTCTCAGACAGTCTCTAAAACAAATCTCCTGATCACACCTTTCACTGCCAAGGAGAGGTGCTGCATATCCAGGCCTTGAGACCTTCTAGGGATGCCTTTGTGACCTTCCCACCTTTGTGGCAGTGGCTCAGTCCTGAGCTGCCAGCCCGGCTGCTCCCTTGGAGCCAACAGTGAGAGGCAGCTGCTGCAGGGCCAGCAAGGAGCAGGGAAATTGTTTTAAGCTCTCTTCCAAATCTGACAGAGAACAGATTCATCTCTTGGTCTTACTCTCTGATTGCTGAGCTCAAGTCCCATTTCCAGGTATGTCTGGGTGATGGATTGGCCTAAGGACACCAATGGTTTGGTGCAAAGAGCCTCTGCCAGAGACAAAGAAGAGACCAAACACACTATCAAAGGGATGATGGACAAATGCATACTGACATTTAATCTTGAATTTCAAGCACCATCACCACATTTCAGAACACTACACTTCAGAATGCAGCACGTGAAGCAAGCCATATGATAAATATTCTACAGTGGACAGCATGAAGACTAATGGGAGCATTAAAAGTACTCTAATGTCTCATCTGATTTATGTTTAAAAGAGACATGTGCTGACTACAGAAGCTCCAGCTGGAGAGGTTCTGTCAGTTCTGTCTCCCAGGAGCAGGAAAGAGCTCCTGATTCTGCCTCTTCATGTTGTTCTTGTTACTGGGCTGTTGATTCTCTGCCATTTCTACCTGAAAACCTGGGAGGCACCAGGTCTGTATGCATTGCCAAGCAACATGTTTAACCCAAGATCAACTTCTCAGAGGTACCTGGGAGATGAGGTCAGACTCTTCTTGCAGTTACACTGCATCAGTAGCATCAAAAAACAAAAATAAAGAATTTAGCCCGAGTGCAGTTAGGGGTTCTCCTTTTGAGCTAAGAAGCTTCTTCCAGTGTAACTAAAACTATTTTGCCATTCAAGTTTTTTTATGAAGGCTTCTAATTCTTACACATGGCTATTAGAATTATTTTTATACACCAAATAAGCACAGGCCTGCAATCAAATATGACACAAATTCCCCTCAACCCATTTAAGCTGTGACATCCACCTCAGGGTCCTGCCAAAACTCTCAGGCACCTGACA